AAAGGACAGTTGGTTGGAGAGGCTATTTCACAGCTGCCAGAGGCTTGATAAGCGTGATGCTTCACTCATTCCCCGTAATCTGCTTAAGACAGAGGCTGTCTTGTGGCAATGGGCAGTGTGGGAGGCTGCTCAGTTCACTGTCCTGTCTAAATTACGGACTCCCTTAGGAAGAGCACAAGATACGTTCCAGACTATTGAAGGTATTCTGTTAATCTATTGGTACTGTGTACGATGATACATTTTCCAAGTGTTTTCAATTCTGTGTTTCCTTGACTTTTTATAATAAATAATTTAAAAAATGTGTTTAAGGATTCAGTACATTGTCATCTATGGAGAGTTCTGTGTTCCAGCATAGTTTGCACTCACACTGCAGCAAACCATTCCAGAACACAAGTTTACATTGCCCGGGAACACACACACTACAAAAACAAACTGGCCCAAGGAGCTGAACTGTGCCCAGGACCAGTTCAAAGTGCAAGTGTGCGTGCACCTTAAAAGCCTAATCATACCTTCAGTTTAATTTAAATACATTCAAGTGCATCAAGGCACAAGGGGTGCACCGTCAGGTTTTTTTTTTTTTTTCTATTTAAAAGGCAACTTCAGCCTCAGGGTAAAAAAATTGCCCATTTTTTACTCCCATTCTGTGACACCCCAAAATAAGGGTTATCGTTCACTTTCACCGTCAGTGGTAACTAAACCAGACAAATAGAGATAATTCCCCTAATAGGAGATATCCATACACATCCTACAGAGTCGGACCGATTGCTTTGCAATCAGCAAAGCTGGAGAGCTCTGGCTCTGATTAGTAGTGGTTGTCGGTCACATAACTACTTTCTACTCAGAGCCAGGTTTCCAGTTTGCAGCTGCTGGCAGGGAACATTCTTTTCTATCCCTGGCTGCTTTTTTAATAAAAGCAATTGTAAGGCTTGTTTTACAATGGCAATGATATACATGCATTTAAAGCAGAAGTACAGCCAAAGCTCTTTTGGCTGTACTTCTCCTGTGGATAACAGGAGTGCAGTTTGTTCTGCACTCCTGTGACCTGTTTTCACTTCTGTGACGCATCATAGCTGGTCCATGCTGGGGAAGGATCCCGACTTTAATGTTGGGATCCACCCCAGTGTCTGGAGCTGCACGTAGTTCAGCCTGTCAGTGATCCGCTGAGGGCCTGAGCCATCCGCCCCCCCACCTCCACAGCTCAGCTCTTCAGTGAGCATCGGGGGGAAGCAGAGCAGACAGCGGTGACTTAACAGTCACTGCTTTCAAAGAGTGAACACAGATACAACCGCTCCTGCGCTTAGGGACTCAGATCAATAGAGGGCCGATGGATCAATAGTATAAGGGAGTATAGAAGTTTGTTACAGATCGATCAAAGGCTGTGCAGCTCCAATACAAAGCTGGGGAAGCTTGATACAAACTGTAGTGAACAAAAACAGAAAGCACAAACCTTGCGCATTTCCTCAGTAAATCGTTAGTAGATTTAGGCGATATACTCACAAGTAGTCCTAAAACAGGCATATAAAATCCAAAAGCACACCCTACGATAAGGAGACACATGCGAATCCCATCTGAAGAGGAAATTCTCAGAATGACACTGCCGTGTTTCGAAGGGGGGTCCCTTCTTCATCAGAGCTAGTCAGACCAGACCGAGAGGGCCCTCTTCTATATATAGTCAGTAACTATGTGTGAACCCTCCCTATGGGAGGGACACGCATCATAGGGGGTAGGACCAACGTGCCACAGCAAGGGTATGCATATGTGCAAACCATGGAGATAGGAAATTGATAAACCTTAAAAAGCATTAATAGAGGTACAATTGTAGAAATATGACTACCAATCAAAAGATGCTAAAGTGACATGCTAATGTACATATACTTGATGCTACCATTCATTTAAAATTTCACTTAAAAGTGATCTTAAATAATATATATAGAGATTGATATATCGATCTAGAGGTAGGTAGATATATGAGAGAGAGAATGAATTGACGTGTCATCAAAATTAATATTAGAACAGATACTTGTAAAGGTGATAAATTGACTTGATTCAGATGTGATACTAATATAATAAAATTACCTTAAAATTGTAAAAAAGCCCGGGATCCGTTTAAATAGTGACTTATATTAATTTCTATTGGGAACATATAAAAAAGCACTGTTTACAGCTTGCAGTAATGACCTCTTAGAATTCACTATTATTTTGAATCAATCAGCTGGTATCTGGAAGCCATTCTGACAGGGTGTATTGCTCAATGTCTCAGATTATTAAAATGGCAGTGGACAGAGGAGTTGTAGCTGCATGGTTAGTTCAGGTGGCGGTGGAACGCACGCCGGCATCAGAGATCGCTACTGCGCATGTGTCATGCGTTCCAGCCGCCATTTTGACACAGGGATCGTTATACAGGAGACAGTCAACACAAGCATAAAAGTAATATTAAAGAATTGTAAAGATTTAAAAACCGGTATTTCCTTATTTACATGCGATCAGCTGTGATTGGACACAGCTGATGACATGACAGAACCGATGTCATCCGCTCTTTCCGCTGATCGGTGATCCGCTGTGTCCCAGGAACACAGTACACTACCGATTGCCACACGCCCCCGGGGCATGCACGAGTGGTTAAAGTGGGAGGACGTCATATGATGTCCTTCCAGAACGAGAGAACCGCCGCGCTCTCGTCAACTTATATGGCGGACGGGAGGCAGTTAAAGAGACAGCACACCTATTGGGTATGTTAATTTGGTATATATTGTATTCAGATATTTGGTTGCAGCAGTCTTTATATTGCTTGTGAAATGGAGCACAGGTTATAGATCTTTTTAGGCTGCATTCACACTTAAATGTGTTTGTAGCTCAAAACTTGAAGCTCGAAGAAGCTCCAAAAGCAAAATCCCATTCATTTCAATTTTTGAACAGGGGTCAATAAAATGAATAGGATTTTTTTTGTTGAGCATCTTCAAGCTTCACACTACAAAACACTCAAGTGTGAATGTAGCCTAATGGCTTTTTCACACCAGCCTTCTCCATTCTGATCAGGGGCACAGAGAAACATATCCCCTATTGAATCAACACTGAAACGCATAGATCTCACTTTTGTGACATCGGTGTCCATTTAGTTTTTTCCTCCCGAACCTTAATTGACCCTTGTTAGAACTATGGGCAAGTGGATGTAAATGTACATGCTTCTGTTTACTTCCAACTACCTCAGATCAATCATGTTTAGCTATTAAAAAATAGGGAAGTGACTTGAAGGTAATCAAATGTAAACGGATATGTGAAAAGACCCACTGGTTCACACTGCCTGCGTGGTTAAATCGCCACATTTCACTGCACTCAAATTGCCATTTCTGGCCGGCAAGGCCTTGCACTTTTCTTCTTTTTTTTTATTGTTTAACTTTATTTATTTCTATTCATTTAGAAATGCAGGCAATAAGCTGTGGTGTAGAATGGCAAAAAGCACATGTCTCACAGGGATCTGTGAATGAATAAACTAGTCCCATCTTCCACTGCGGCTGATAGTTTGTAGTTCTCAATGGACTATGAGTGTGTGTGCTGATCAGCACACTTGTGGTCCATTGACACTTCCTCCAGCTTGCTAACTGAAAGCCTGTATGAAAATACCGGCTGAAACCTGGAGGGTGTGTCTGCAGGAGTAACCAGCAGACTCTTGTGGGAAAAGTTGGTAAATGCACATTGTTTTTCCTGCAAAAATGTGCATTTATTTTTTTATCCATAAAGGTGAAGGCCTTTTCAGTGTCAACAGGACAGATAGAAAACAATTTGTTTTCTGTGTGCCCTTGCAGAGATTGTAATTTTTCTACTGCAAAAAATGCAGATCTCTGCACAAGTGTGAATTTAATTTGAAAGTTTACTTTGGCTTCCAAAAAAAGTTGTTTCTTGAGACATGTTGGTGATTCTTGTGTATTTCCCTGTATCCAGTGTGAAAATAAAGGTCATTTATGTTGATTTGTTTGTATTTATTTTATTCACAGTGCATTGACTCCAAAGTAGCTATGCAGCCAGTATTGAGTTAATGTTGACTGGCAAATGAATTGTGCTGTGACTGACTTTATTTTTTCCCCCCTTTTGTCTTAAGGTATTATTCGAAGCCTTGCAGCTCACACCCTAAATCCAGACCAGGATGTTAGTCAGTGGACAACTGCAGAGAATGATGAAGGACATGCCAACAACCAATTACGTTTAGTGCTCCTTCTCCAATACCTGGAGAACCTAGACAAACTGATGTACAATGCCTATGAAGGATGTGCCAATGCATTAACCTCCCCTCCTAAGGTTAGTAGATAGATGAAGGGACATACATTTTAGGCCTGAGTCACCCTAGTGAGAATTCAGATGTGACTTCAGTTACACAAAATCGCAAAACAAGACAAACTGCATTATTTTCAGTGGTTCGCATCAGTGCAGTGCGTTTTGTTTTTTTTATATTGTTTGTTTTAATTTGGAAAGGTACATGTGCTACTTTGGTGTGGTTGTAGCATGATTTTAGCCCCATAGACATTCAAATGAATGTACATGCATTTAGTAAATTTTGGCAGAGTTTTGTGTATAAAATCTAGTCTTACAAAAAAAAAATTGCGCAGGAAAATGCCTCAAAAATGCACTACAAAATCACACTGAAAATCAGATCAAGATGCAACTGCAGTAGTGTGAACATTGCCTCACAAGTGGCCGATTTGCTAAAGCAATAAATTGCATGCCACATGCCAGGAGGTTGTTGAAGCAGAAATTAAACTTCCTGATTTGTTTGCAGATTGCAGTGGTTCCTATAGGAAACTGTATTCGGTCTCCTGTAAAATGCTGATTAAGGCTCTGGCTCAGTTTATTTGCGGTTTCCATTAATGGTTGCAAAGTCTTGATAGCATTTTTACTTCTATTCATAGGTTATCAGGACCTTCTTCTATACTAATCGGCAAACATGCCAAGATTGGCTCACTCGAATTCGAATTGCCATAATGCGAGTGGGTTTGTTGGCTGGGCAGCCAGCTGTTACAGTTAGACATGGCTTTGACCTGCTTGCAGAGATGAAGAACAGTGCACCTCAGGTAAGAGTTGTCATAACAGGACTACTCCAGACAGAGCTTTTATTATATTACAAACGTTTTGTTTTTTTGTTTTTTTTTAGGGCACAGAACTTGAGTTGACCGTAATGATGGTAGTGGAGGCTCTTTGTGAACTACAGTGTCCCGAAGCCATACAAGGGCTTACAGTGTGGTCATCCGCTGTTGCTGGCAAAACCCTTTCTTGGATAAATTCTGTAGCTCTGCAAGCTGATGGGAGGTGCGTTGTTATAGCTTTGCTTAACCACTTCTGCTCTTCCACATGTATATACTCCTTTTGGTGGCAATTTGTAAATATCTTCTATAGATCTATTTATTCTGTGATAGTTTTGTTAATAAAGATTACAAAGTAATACATATATTTTTTCAGGACAAACAAGGATTTCTTTTGGTCATGTTGTCTTGCAAGAATTTGTTTTTCTATGCAGTTTATAGATGCATAACACTAAAAATAAATGCACTTCATCATATACTATAGCACACAAGACTTTTATTCATAGTCCATGGGTTATATGCAGCTACTTTGAGGTGATTGGACACTGGTAAAAAAAAAAAAAAACTTTCTAGGGCTGCTCCCCAGAGCACACTGTAGAAACCCTACCCACTCGTTGGGACAATATTTTTTTTGTGTTCTTGAGTGATGAATTTGTTCTTTGGAGAGGAGGACCTGGTCCCAACAGGGATTGAAATGTCCCATTCTTGAACGGAGAGCTATCAGATTCTCTACAACACTTGACCTCTTCTAGAGCAAGGTCACCTAGTCAGGCTGCCTTTAATGCCATCAAGAGACTTTGACACTTAACTAGTGCCACAAGTGCATTCTTTTGTGACTTTAATAAAATCAACTTCTTAAACACTGAAGAAAGGGGAGGTTTTCCCCCTGATGTGCGTTGGCTGTATTTGATGCTTTTAACAATTACATTTTCCAAAAAGTCCTTCAAGTGAGATAGCACACCCTAGTACACATCCAAGAATTTACCTAAACGATATTAGTCTTATACTCCCTCTGTGTAAACCCACATTCCAGCTCTCTCGGCTGTCCACATCCCCAGAGTGGACAATTGGCAAGGCAGACTTCCCCAAGCTGTAAAAGCCTAGGTCTAGGGGAGTGGTCTCTTAGCCCAGAGGTCTTTCAAAATCTATTTCAAAGGTGGAAAAACCAGATGAGGAAATGGGGCTCCAGGTTAAACAGCAAGCTGAACAAGTTTATAGCCAAGAGCAGAGATCCTCTGACCATTGCAAAGGATGCTTTGGTGATTTCTTGGACTCGTTTCCAGCTTGTTTATACTTCCCTCTGAAGAGCCTTCCTCGACCCAGAAAAACGTAGTACAGAGACCTACTTAGACTTCTAAAAATAGTAATAAAAGTGAGCGCTCTAATAATAAGCAGCTGAACACTCAAGGAAACCAAAAGAAACCTCGTTAAAACATATATATATGTGCAGCGCTTGTCAGTAAAACAAAGTAAAATATATTAATAAAAAGTCACAAATAGCATAAAATTAAAATAAAGTGACAGTCTATATGGTGTCGTGAAATAACACTTCAATCCAATGGTGCTCCTTGTGGTAAGGTAAGAATTGAGCACTCACCAGAAGCGTAATAAAATTACGCAGTGTGCATATCAACGGTGAAAAAGGTCACTGCCCAATAAATTTGTCCTCAGGGTTGCGCACTGGAGTTTCACAGAAGACCACCAGCAAGATATCTAGTTACAAAGTTGCCAAAGGATGTGTCTAAAGCGTTGGTGTTATCCCTACTTATAGGAGAACTGGTGGATTAAAAGGTGCTATTTCCAGTGCCCCTTCAAGAGCAAGAAAAGAGTTTCTATTCGCATGTTTTTGTGATAAAGAAACCAACAGGAAAGTGCCGGTTAATTCTAAAGCGAAGGCCCCTGAATGTATCCATACGGTAAAAAAGGTTTCAGATTGAATCCATTTATTCAATAGGGAACCTCCTTCAGAAAGATTTATGTCCACTATGGACTTGAAGTCCCATAAGGAAAAGCTCTCAGAAGTATCTGTGACTAGCAATTCAATATGAGAAGAAAACCTATCATTTTCAGAGCAGAGCTCGTCCCTTTTGGCTTTCCTCTACCCCGAGGATATTCACCAAGATTCTGGCAAAAGCATTGGTCCCACTAAGACTCCAGTCAGTCATGGTCATCCCATATCTAGACTATTTGCTTTTCTTGGCTCCGTCCAGTGTGGAAGTCCAGTTGACTCTGTTCAGGGTACAGCAGTGGCTAGAAAAGTTGGGATGGATTGCAAATCTCAACAAATACCATCCCAGTCTGTCTCTATTCTGTTCTACATCATTCAGTCCAGAGATCAGAAAATAATTCCAAAAGAAAAGATCAATCGGTTGGATCAGAAGATGGCAGGTCTACAGTCCAATCACCGTTGCATGGTGAGAGAAATGATGTCGGTCTTAGGATTGACAGCCTCGATTCCAGCTGTACAATGGGCCAGGTTCCACCAGAGAGTTCTACAGAAGTTTCTTTTAAGAGACTGAACGGACAGACTTGGACGAAAGAGTGTCCATCCCTCCCAGGGTGAAGCTCTCATTCTGGTGGTGGAGGACTCTAACACAAACTTACAAGAGGGAGTTTATTGGATTCTACCCATTTCTCGCATTTTAACTACAGATGCCAGCAGCTGGGACTGGGGAGCCCATCTAGATGGTCAATGGTGCCAGGGCAAATGGTCTCCTGAAGAGAAGATTTCTTCCAACTGAAAAGAGCTGATCCTGCTCGTTAGGGGGATGTTGGCCATTCAGAATCAGATCAGAGGTCATCATCTGCAGATTCGATCCAAAAATATAACATTGGCATATGTCAACAGACGGGGGCACCAGAGGTCCCTGACTAATGATTGCCCTGAACATTTTTCAGCAGGCTGAACAAAACCTTTGTTCCATCCCTGCGGTGCACCTGAAGGGAGAGCAGAACAATCTAACATATTTACTAAGCAGTCAGCAGGTCTCAAATCAGGAACGGTCCTTGCATCTGAAGGCATTCAGAAAGATTATTTTTCTGGGCAAAACCCAGAAGATGATCTTTGTGACCAGGAAGAACACAAAGGTGCCAGCGTTCTTTTCTCTGGACCCAAGAGATTGCCCACTAGCAGTGGGGACCCTACAGATATCTTGGAACTTCAATCTCTTCTATGCCTTCCCACCCATTTACCTCATTCCAAAAGTCTTGTCCAAATTTCTGCTAGAAACACACAGGTTATCCTGGTAGCACCATATTGGCCCAAGAGATCATGGTTCTCAACATTGCTCACATTGACTGACCCAGGCCCCTCTCAGATTGCCTCTTAAGAAGGATTTGCTATGCCAGGGACTTCTGGTACATCCATAGGTGTCCACTTTAAATCTAACAACTTGGTTTCTGAAGAAGGGATCTTGAGAGCTAGGGGCCTGTTTGGTAGTCATCCACACCTTCAAAGTAGAAAACCGACAACTAGAGCAAAGTTTGGAAAATATTTAGAAAATAATTTGTCTCCTTGACAGAAATGGAACCTCTAAGGGCTCACCCAATATCCTTGAATTTCTGCAGGATGGGTTTGAGAATGGATTAGCCCTGGGTATTATCAAAGTACAGATTGCGGCGCGAAGCGTCTATCTACAAAGAACTCTTCAGTATGACTCGCTTATCTCTAGATTTTGTAAAGGAATATCTAGATGCAAATCAAGGTGAAGAGTTAGAATTCCGGCTTGGAACCTTTCTATTGTTCTAAAGTCTTTACTTGGAGCACCCTTTTGAGACAATTTTGAAATCTTCAGAGAAGATGATATTCTTAAACTCTGCTATTGGTGGCAGTATTGTCTGCTCGAAGAATTAGTGAAATTCAGCCACTGTCAATCAGGGATCACGTCTTACAGATTTTCAAAGATAGGATCATTCTAAGAACAGATCCAGGGTTCATTCCTAAGGTAGTGTCTAACTTTCATAGATTACAAGATATCGTCCTAACAACTTTTTGTCAGAATGCTTCTAAATAAAGGGGAGGAGTTCCACTGGCTGGATGTTAAAAGAGGCTAAAAGGCATATCTTGAAGCCACGAGGGATTTTAGAACCTCAGAAGTACTGTTTGTTCTATTCTCAGGAAAACGTAAGGGATGCCAGGCCTCTAAGGCCACCATAGCCCTGTGGATCAAACTGGCCTTTACAGAGTTACCAGGCCTTAGGCAAACCTCCCAGAGGTCTAAGAGCCCTTTCTACTAGAGTGCTTTGTGCAACCTGGGCAGAAAAAGCTGGTGCCACCCCAGAGCAAATATGCAAGGCAGTAATGTGGTCAAGCTTTTTCATCTTCGTGAGACATTACCGTCCGGATCTGTTGTCAGGTCAGAATCAGGCATTTGGGAGGAAATTCCTCCAAGCCGTGGTCTTGTTACTTGTTTATCCTCTCAAGGGCTGTCCTGGAAGACGACTGGGGGGGAAACTGGCGTTAGACTTACTGGTAACTTTATTTCCAGTAGTCTTCCAGGACAGCAAGTTCCCACCCTATGTTTTTAATGGAATCGTTTGTTGGGTTTTGTTTTATATTTTTAAGTTCCATCCTTCGGTTCTTGCATATGACTGACCATGCTACTGAGGGACCTCTTTTAAAGAACTGTGGCAATGTGTTTCCTGTTCCTGTGGGAGGAGCTCCATCTCTCAAGGGCTGTCTTGGAAGACTACTGGAAATAGTTACCAGAAAGTCTAACTCCGGTTTTCCTAGCCCTTAACCCTTTCGGTGCCAGGACCCTTTTTTTTGTTTGAAGAAGTCCGGTAATTGGATGAAATGCATCAAAGGGGTGGGGCAGTGAGGCCATTTATGTCACTAAGCTGTCTGCTGTTTGAGGACAGGGAAGAAAAGTGAGCTGCATACTGGTGTACCGAGGGGAGGAGAGATCGGCAGTGATGGCTCTTTCTATTCTCCCCTTGTAGATTATACTCCTGTGAGTGTTTTTTAAACCTTTACTTCAATAAAACAGTGGAGAGCACTGTCAGTTCCTTCTGTTTTTATATGTGCTGCACTTGTCTCGTATGCATGTTTGAACGTTGGATGGCTCTGATGGATCTCTGCTAGGGCTATGTTGGTTTCCTTACTTTCCCTTAAAGGGGTACAAGTGCTTTGACCTATTTTACATTTTGAGATCTGGATTGAAGGTGAGCAGCCTAATTTTACCACTGGTTTGCTCCAGAATGGTTAAGCTCCAATCAGCTCCATGC